ACCGCCTCTGTTAGTCTGGAACCGTCAGACATATTTAGTAGAACTATTCCAGAACAAGCGCATCTGATTCAACTGGTCAACTCATCATCCAGCCCTTGACTAGGTCGATCAGGTGAGCTAGTTCAGGACTACAACAAAGTGGTGAAACGTCTGGGGGTCCCCACAGTTGGAGAGGTTTGGGAACCACTGCATTAGACTACTAACCTAAAGAAAAATGTCCTGGAATACGCTGAAGAAAAGGTTTATTTTGTAGGTGAAAAATCTGTCGACGTGCCCTTGAGCAAGTCACTTAACCCTAATTGCTCCTGTAAGTCGCACTGCTAAATGACTAAAATGTAAATGTAAAAATGATTTGTTTCTCCTCTCACCATGTAGTGTCTGGACCTGCCAGTGTTGTATTTCCCAACTCTGGTCCTCCGGTACCCCCTAACGGTACAAATGTTTTGCTGTAGACACACAAGCACACCTGATTCTATTAACAGCTAATCACGAAGTCCTTAACTAGTTTAATGAGGTTTGTTTGTCTAGTGCGACAACAAAAATGTTGGGGCTACTTCAGGACGGGAGTTGAGAAACGCTGACTAACTCACTCTACTGACAGTAATGTCTGTTTGGGAGACACTTCTTAGACATGGTGTGGTTAGGTCTCTGAATTAGTTTAAAACATTTTGAACTGACAACCCACAAGCAGTTAGCTTAATTAGAAGCCAGCCTGGTAACTGGTTACTAGGCCTGAATGCATGTAAGCATGGAGGATGAAACAACACTGGCTTCTATAGTGACCCTCATGTCTGCTCACTAGTGGGCTAGAAACAGGGAAAGGGTGCACTCTGCTGGTCACTGCTGGGACTACAGCTGTATGTCTGCTATTTCCTCTGTCTCATGGCTTCTCTCTCTCTCTGTCCATATCCCCTCTCTCTCTCTCTCTCTCTCTCTCTCTGTCCATCTCTACTCTCTCTCTCTCTCTCTCCATCTCTTTTATCTCTCTATGTCCATCTCTACTCTCTCTCTCTTTTCTCTGTACATCTCTACTCTCTCTCTCTTTCTCTGTCCATCTCTACTTTCTCTGTCATCTCTCTCTCTGTCATCTCTCTCTATCTCTCTCTCTCTCTCTCTCTCTCTCTCTCTCTCTATCTCTCTCTCTCATCTCTCTTCTCTCTCTCTCTCTTCTCTCTTGTCCATATGTACTCTATCTCTGTCCTATCTACTATCTCTCTCTCTGTCCATCTCTACTCTCTTCTCTCTCTCATCTCTACGCTCTCTCGCTCTCCTCTCTCCTCTCTCTCTCTCTACTCTCTCTCTCTCTGTCCATCTCTACTCTGTCCTGGGGCTCTGTGGGGTCTGTTTGTGTTTGTGACCAGCTTGCTCTTCTCCAGGTTCATCTCTCTGTAGGTGATGGCTTTGTTATGGAAGGTTTGGGAATCACTTCCTTTTAGGTGGTTGTAGAATTTAACAGCTCTTTTCTGGATTTTGATAATTAGCGGGTATTGGCCTAATTCTGCTCTGCATGCATTATTTGGGGTTTTACGTTGTACACTGAGGATATTTTTGCTGAATTCTGCATGCAATTTGGTATTTGTCCCATTTTGTGAATTATTGGTTAGTGAGCGGACCCCAGACCTCACAACCATAAAGGGCAAAGGATTTTAGCAGCGCGAGTACAACAGTCGATATGTTGATAGAACTTCGGCAGCCTAGTCCTCAAATTTGCTTTGTTAAAATCCCTGTCTACAATAAATGCAGCCTCAGGATATGTGGTTTCCAGTTTGCATAAAGTCCGGTGAAGTTATTTGAGGGCCGTCGTGGTATCGGCTTGAGGGTGGATATACACGGCCGTGACTATAACCGAAGAAAATAATCTTGGGAGATAATACGGTCGGCATTTGATTGTGAGATATTCTAGGTCGGGTGAACTGAAGGACTCCAGCTCCTGTATGTTACTACAATTACACCATGAGTCGTTAATCATGAAACATACACCTCCGCCCTTCTGCTTCCCGGAGAGATATTTATTCCTGAACTGAGAACACATCTGGCTGGACCGATTCCGACAGAATATCCCAAGAGAGCCATGTTTCCGTGAAACAGAGTATGTTACAGGCCTTGATGTCTCTCTGGAAAGAAATCCTTGCCCGTAGTTCGTCGACCTTGTTAACCAAAGATTGAACATTAGCGAGTAGAATACTTGGAAGCGGTGGGTGGTGTGCGCGCCTCCTAAGTCGGACCAGCAGGCCGCTCAGAGTGTCTCTCCTCCGCCGGCGATGTTTTGGGTCAGCCGCTGGAATCAGTTCAGTTGCCCTGGGGAGAGCAAACAAAGGTTCTGCTTCGGTAAAGTCGTATTCCTGGTCGTAATGCTGGTGAGTTACCGCCGCTCCAATCATTTTTCCCGGCTGTATGTAATGATGCAAAACACTTTATGAGCTAATAATGTAAAAAATAATACATTAAAAAAACAAAATACTGCAAAGTTTCCTAAGAGCTAGTCGCAAGGCCGCCATCTTCGTCGGTGCCAGGTGAACATCTAGGTGCTGCTGTAGGCCCTCCTTGGTTGGTGACAGAAGCACCAGTTCATCAGCTAACAGTAGACATTTGACTTCAGATTCTAGTAGGGTGAGGCCGGGTGCTGCAGACTGTTCTAGTGCCCTCGCCAATTCGTTGATATATATGTTGAAGAGGGTGGGGCTTAAGCTGCATCTTTCAAGCTGCATCGTCAAGCGGCACACTAGTTTGCGTACATGGATTTTATAATGTCGTATGTTTACGTTTTGAACCCAACACCACTTTCCATCAGTTTGTTTAGCAGACCCTCATGCCAAATTGAGTCAAAAGCTTTTTTGAAATCAACAAAGCATGAGAAGACTTTGCCTTTGTTTTGGTTTGTTTGTTTGTCAATTAGGATGTGGAGGGTGAATACGTGGTCTGTCGTACGGTAATTTGGTAAAAAGACAATTTAACATTTGCTTAGTACATTGTTTTCACTGAGGAAATGTACGAGTCTGCTGTGAATGATAATGCAGAGGATTTTCCCAAGGTTGCTCTTGACGCATATCCCACGGTAGATATTGGGGTCAAATTTGTCTCCATGTTTGTGGATTGGGGTGATCAGTCCTTGGTTCCAAATACTGGGGAAGATGCCAGCGCTAAGGATGATGTTAAAGAGTTTAAGTATAGCCAGTTGGAATTTGTGGTCTGTATATTTTTAACATTTAATTGAGGATACCATCAACACCACAGCTCTTTTTGGTTTGGAGGGTTTGGTATTTTGTCTTGTAGTTCATTCAATGTAATTGGAGAATCCAGTGGGTTCTGGTAGTCTTTACTAGTTGATTCTTTCTATCTTTCTCTGTTCATCTCTTATAACACATCTCTCTCTCTCTCTAACCTCTCTCTCTAACCTCTCTCTCTTAACCTCTCTCTCTCTGACCTCTCTCTAACCTCTCTCTCTCTCTGACCTCTCTAACCTCTCTCTCTAACCTCTCTCTCTTAACCTCTCTCTCTCTCTGACCTCTCTCTAACCTCTCTCTCTAACCTCTCTCTCTTAACCTCTCTCTCTCTCTGACCTCTCTCTAACCTCTCTCTCTTTACCTCTCTCTCTCTCTAACTCTCTCTAACCTCTCTCTCTTAACCTCTCTCTCTCTCTGACCTCTCTCTAACCTCTCTCTCTAACCTCTCTCTCTTAACCTCTCTCTCTCTCTAAACCTCTCTCTAACCTCTCTCTCTTAACCTCTCTCTCTCTCTCTCTGACTCTCTCTAACCTCTCTCTCTAACCCTCTCTCTTAACCTCTCTCAGCTCTGACCTCTCTCTAACCTCTCTCTCTAACCTCTCTCTCTCTGACCTCTCTCTAACCTCTCTCCTTAACCTCTCTTTCTCTCTGACCTCTCTCTATTCAGCTCTCTCTAACCTCTCTCTAACCTCCCTCTTCATCTCTCCCTCTCTCTGTCTCTAACCCAGGGATCATCAACTAGATTCAGCCGGAACATAATTACAAATAATTTGTAAACAAAAAATTGACCGCAAGAAGTCCAAACAGATATAGTTGACTATATATTTGTTCCGCCAGTTGGGTAACCATGCTCTAACCTCTCTCTCTCTCTCTCGCTAACCTCTGTCTCTAACCTCTCTCTAACCTCCCACTTGCTAACCTCTCTCTAACTTCTCTCTCTTTAACTTTCTCTCTCTAACCGCTCTCTCTCACCTCTCTCTGTTAATCTCTCGCTCTAACCTCTCTCTAACCAATTCGGTTACATTCAAAGGGCTTTATTGGCATGGGAAACATGTTTACATTGCCAAAGTGAAATAGACAATAAACAAAAGGGAAATAAACAAGGGAAATGAACAATCAGAAATGAACAGTAAATATTACACTCACAAAAGTTTTAAATTAAAATATAGACATTTCAAATGTTATATTATTGTCTATGTACAGTGTTGTAACAATGTGCAAATAGTTGAATGGTGTTTGTGCTCCACTGGTTGCCCTTGTGGCAACAGGTCACATCTAGCTGCTCTCTCTAACCATCTTTCTCTCCCTCTCTCTCTCTGTTCATCTCTCTCGCTCTGTTCATCTCTCTCGCTCTGTTCATCTCTCTCGCTCTGTTCATCTCTCTCTCGCTCTGTTCATCTCTCTCTCTCTGTTCATCTCTCTCTCTCTCGCTCTGTTCATCTCTCTCTCTCTCGCTCTGTTCATCTCTCTCTCTCGCTCTGTTCATCTCTCTCGCTCTGTTCATCTCTCTCTCTCTCGCTCTGTTCATCTCTCTCGCTCTGTTCATCTCTCTCTCTCTCTCTCGCTCTGTTCATCTCTCTCTCTGGCTCTGTTCATCTCTCTCTCTCTCTCTCTGTTCATGTCTCTAACCCTTGTGCTTGTCTCTCTCTGTTCATGTCTCTAACCCTTGTGCTTGTCTCTCTCTGTTCATGTCTCTCTCTCTCCTCTCCAGTCCTCAGTATCCGTGGTATCCAGGATGAGGATCCACCAGATCCACAGATCATGCGATTGGACAACATGCTGCTGGCAGAGGGCGTGTCCGGCCCGGAGAAGGGTGGGGCCTCGGCGGCGGCTGCAGCTGCAGCGGCGGCAGCTGCAGGCGGGTCCCCTAACGACGGCAATATAGAACACTCAGACTACAGGGCCAAGCTGACTCAGATCAGAGGGATATACCACTCAGAACTGGAGAAATATGAACAGGTAGGAGGGAACACACACTATCCAAAAACAGCTGAGAGGAGGAGGGAGGGGTGTATAAGAACAGTGGCCTTGTCCTAAATCTGTCTTGCCTACTACTAACTAAAACTACATACTGTGTACTACTAATACTACATACCGTTTAGAACGTACTGTTTAGTAAAAACGAATGTAGTAAGCAGCAAATATCAACATACTACTCATCCATACCGAGAAGGTGTCATCTAATGTGCAATCGTGCTTGTTCCTCGCCATTCGTTGCATCCCCTATTCTGATAATCAGCTGTTGTCAAACAGCTGAAAAGACGATTCTCTTCCTCAATAGTGTGCAGTGAATTCTACTAGATGAAAAGCCTAAATTAGTATGACATCCTGGCATTTAAAGCATACTACATTTTAGAGATTTCACAGACTACTATTTAGAACGCAAGTATGGGTATTCGGACACAACCAGTACCTCCCCTTAAGAAAAAAACCCTGTAATCTCCTCCCTCCTCTCCTCTCCTCTCCTCTCCTCTCCTCTCCTCTCCTCTCCTCTCCTCTCCTCTCCTCTCCTCTCCTCTCCTCTCCTCTCCTCTCCTCTCCTCTCCTCTCCTCTCCTCTCCTCTCCCCAGGCATGCAGTGAGTTCACCAACCATGTGATGAACCTGCTGAGGGAGCAGAGTCGTACGCGGCCCATCTCTCCCAAGGAGATCGAGCGCATGGTGGGGATCATCCACCGCAAGTTCAGCTCCATCCAGATGCAGCTTAAACAGAGCACCTGTGAAGCCGTCATGATCCTACGTTCCAGATTCCTGGACGCCAGGTGAGAGAGAGAGACAGTGTGTGTCTTAGTCTCTGTGTCTCTCGGTCTGCATGTACCTATTATCACACCTCTCTCTCTCTCTCTCTGTCTCTCTCTCCCCTCTCTCTGTCTCTCTCTCTCTCTCTCTGTCTGTCTCTCTCTCTCTCTCTCTCTCTCTCTCTCTCTCTCTCTGTCTGTCTGTCTGTCTCTCTCTCTCTATGTCTGTCTGTCTGTCTCTCTCTCTTTCTGTCTCTCTCTATGTCTCTCTCTCTCTCTCTCTCTCTCTCCCCCCCCCCCCGGTCAGACGGAAGAGACGTAACTTCAACAAGCAGGCTACTGAGGTGCTGAATGAGTACTTCTACTCCCACCTGTCTAACCCCTACCCCAGTGAGGAGGCCAAGGAGGAACTGGCCAAGAAGTGTGCCATCACCGTCTCTCAGGTCAGAGGTCAAATAGGGGTCACACAGGGGTCAAACTAGAGTCACAAGTGTTACGGGCGGGATCTGAACCCTGGTCTCCCATGGGAGAAACCAACGTCTTGACCGTTAGACCAAGAGGAAATTCCCCCTTGGACCGAGGGTGACAATGATTTTTAGGCATACTGTATCAGGTATAGGTTGTTATCTGAGTTTCCCCATAGGGTGAGAAGAATAGAATGTGATACATTTGTCATTTAGAAAGGTTCCTGTCCAGAAACATGCCCTAGCACCTGCATGCATTTGTTAGACTAGTTATCACTTGATTCAGATTAATAGATTATTTTCATTTTTCCTCGTACTGAGCAACATACTGAGTCTTCTCTCTCCTCTTCTCTGAGCACCCTTGAGGAAGAAAGAGAGAGCGAGAGAGAAAGGGGAAGAGAGAGAGCAAGAGTGATACAGAGCTAGAGAGAGCAGACCCATCACAATAAAGATGCGAGAAGGTCTAAATTTGAACAGAGTAGGAAAGAGAACATAGGGAAGTCTCAGAACAGCAACCTGCCTTAATCAGCTCTCCGCCACTCTCCTCACAGGCCTCCGCCTCTCCCCTCCTCCTCTCAGGTGTCTAAACTGTTGGTAACAAAGGGTCAGGTACAGAAGAACATAGGGAGTTCCAGGAGGAAGCAACTGTACGCTGGAAACAGCTGTAGCAGCAGCCCCACACACCAGCAATCCCCGCCACGCCTAACTCAGGTACACACACTCGGACATCACACACACTCGGTCATCACACACGTTTGGACATCTCAGACACTCACACATCACACACAGTCGTAGATCACGAGCACGCTCGCACACACACACACACACACAGACACACACCACACACACACACACACACACACAACAGCACCTCCAAGACCAGCCACATCTTCTTCACACAACTACTTCTCCCATAGTCTCCCTTCTAACAAAGTCTAAGCCCGCCTCTTAATACCTGCCCCCACCAATCACCTACTCCCTGCCACAAAAGCCTCTCTCCTGATTGGCTGGTTATGACATTCCGCAGGCTCGCCAGGGTCATACAGTCGGCCCAACACAGGCCACGCCCACCCCGGTGTACACCCGACCAATGGGGAGGGGTTATTTGTCAGCCCTCCTCTGCAGCCTCAGGTAGGCCTGCAGTAAGAGCCCCCCCCCCCCCCTCCATCCACCTCCCCAAAATGGTTCCCCTGTTATAGCTGCTAGTTCCACTCTCCTGCCCCCCTCAATCCCCCCTAAACTGCCACCTGTGATCTCTGTTCTCCTTAGTATCACCTACCAACCCCCCAGCCCCTATAGAGCCCCTCTTACCACTGTTCAGTTGTAACTTTTACCCCCCTATTGTAACTTTGTGTTCCTCTCATGGAACCCTCTAACCCCCCACCTCCCCCTCAGCCTTCCCCCACTCTCCCCCTCAGCCTCCCCAGACTAACCCACCTCCCCTCAGCCTCCCCAGACTCTAACCCCCCACCTCCCCTCAGCCTCCCCAGACTCTAACCCCCCACCCCCCTCAGCCTCCCCAGACCTAACCCCCCACCTCCCCCTCAGCCTCCCCAGACTCTAACCCCCCCACCTCCCCACTCAGCACCCCCAGACTCTACTAACCCCCCCACCTCCCCCTCAGCCTCCCCAGACTCTAACCCCCCACCTCCCCCTCAGCCTCCCCAGACTCTAACCCCCCACCTCCCCCTCAGCCTCCCCAGACTCTAACCCCCCACCTCCCCCTCAGCCTCCCCAGACTCTAACCCCCACCTCCCCTCAGCCTCCCCACCTCTCAGACTCAACCCCACCTCCCCCTCAGCCTCCCCAGACATCACCCTCAGCCTCCCAACTCTACCCCCTCAGCCTCCCCAGACTAACCCCACCTCCCCCTCAGCCTCCCCAGACAGACCCTGGTAACCCCAGTGTGGTGGATCAGTCCAGACCCCTAGCTGGATACCCCTTCAGTCCTCACTCTACCCAGCCTGAACTAAGGCGACTGTCTGTACACATGCAGCCCAACTCGGATCTTTTTCCAGATGAGTCTGCATGTGTAAATCCAGCCTTAATGCTGTATGTGAAACAGACCTCGTCTCACCCAGTGCCCCTTCATCTCCTGTGATACCCTAGCCCCCTGTCTCTCTGGGGTGTCAGCTTAGAGCAGGGCTCTCCAACCCTGTTCCTGGAGAACTACCCTCCTGTAGGTTTTCACTCCAACCCTGTTCCTGGAGAGCTACCCTCCTGTAGATTTTCACTCCAACCCTGTTCCTGGAGAGCTACCCTCCTGTAGGTTTTCACTCCGACCCTGTTCCTGGAGAGCTACCCTCCTGTAGGTTTTCACTCCAACCCTGTTCCTGGAGAGCTACCCTCCTGTAGGTTTTCACTCCAACCCTGTTCCTGGAGAGCTACCACCTCCTGTAGATTTCACTCCAACCCTGTTCCTGGAGAGCTACCCTCCTTTAGGTTTCACTCCAACCCTGTTTCTGGAGAGCTACCCTCCTGTAGGTTTCACTCCAACCCTGTTCTGAGGAGCTACCACTCCTGTAGGTTTTCACTCCAACCCTGTTCCTGGAGAGCTACCTCCTGTAGGTTTTCACTCCAACCCTGTTCCTGGAGAGCTACCCTCCTGTAGGTTTTCACTCTAACCCTGTTCCTGGAGAGCGACCCTCCTGTAGGTTTTCACTCCAACCCCAGTTGTAACTAAACTGATTGATCTTATCAACAGCTAATTATTAGAATCCGGTGTGCTAGATTAGGGTTGGAGTGAAACCCCTATAGGACAGAAGCTCTCCAGGAACAGGGGTTGGAGTGAAACCCCTATAGGACAGTAGCTCTCCAGGAACATGGGTTGGAGTGAAACCCCTATAGGACAGTAGCTCTCCAGGAACATGGGTTGGAGTGAAACCCCTATAGGACAGAAGCTCTCCAGGAACATGGGTTGGAGTGAAACCCCTATAGGACAGTAGCTCTCCAGGAACAGGGGTTGGAGTGAAACCCCTATAGGACAGTAGCTCTCCAGGAACATGGGTTGGAGTTAATCTACAGGAGGGTAGTTCTGTGTGTATATGCAGAGTGTGTGTATGCAGTATTAGTGTGTGTGTGTGTGTGTGTGTGTGTTAGTGTATTAGTGTTAGTTTGGGTATGCAGTGTCAGTGTGTTAGTTAGTGTGCTTGTAACAGTGTGCAACAGTGTGTGTACCAGTGTGTATAAATATACTATTAGTGTGTGTACCAGTGTGTGTATAAATGTAGTATTAGTGTGTGTACCAGTGTGTATAAATGTAGTATTAGTGTGTGTACCAGTGTGTACTAGTGTGTGTATAAATGTAGTATTTGTTACCAGTGTGTAAAAGCGCCCCCTGCTGGTCTGTTCCTCCAGGTGGATATCCAGCACCGTGCTACACTCCTGACGGGATGTTATGAGGAGCTGCCTGGAGGAACTCTGTTTCCTCCCCACTGTCTCCATGGAGTTATCTATGGTACCAGTTTACTGTTTCCTCCCCATGTATCCATTGAGTTCTATGGGTACCAGTTTTTCCTCACCCACGTCTCATGTGAGTATCTATGGTACCACTCTGTTTCCCTCCACTGTCTCCATGTGAGTATCTATGGTAACAGTCGTTTCCTCCAATGTCTCCATGGGAGTATCTTAGGGTACCAGTGTTTCCTCACCACTGTCTCCAGGTGAGTATCTATGGTAACCCTCGTTTCCCTCACCTGTCTCCATGGGGAAGTATATATGGTACCCAGTCTGTTTACTCCCCACTGTCTTCCATGGAGTATCATGGTACCAGTCTGTTTCCGCCCACTGGTCTCCATGTGAGTATTATGGTACCAGTCTGTTTCCCTCCACGTGTCTCCATGTGAGTATCTATGGTACCAGTATGTTTCCCTCACTGTCTCATTGTGCGTATTCTATGGTAACCACTCATGTTTCCTCCACTGTCTCAATGTGAGATCTATGGTATCAAGTATGTTACTCCACTGTCTCCATGTGATATTCTATGGTACCATTCTGTTTCATCCCCACTGTCTCCATGTGCAGATCTATGGGGGTAACAGTATGTTTCCCTCCCACTGTATCAATGTGAGCATCTATGGTACCACTTGTTTACCTCCACGTCTCAATGTGAGTCATTATTGGTACCACGTAGGGTTTCCCTCCACTGTCTCCATGTGAGTATCTATGGTTCAGTCTGATTTCCCCCACTGTCTCCAGGTGATATTCTATGGTACCAAGTCTGTTTCCCTCCACTGTCTCCATGTGAGTATCTATGGTACAGTATGTTTCACTACCTGTCCCATGTGAGTATATATGGTACCAGTTCTGTTTCCATCCACTGTATCCATGTGATATCTATTGGTTACCAGTCGTTTCCCCACACTGTCTCCATGTGAGTATCTATTGGTACCAGGCTGTTTTCCCTACAATGTCTCCATGTGAGTACTAGTGGTACCAGTCTGTTTTCCCTCCACTGTCTCATGTGAGTATCGATGGTAACAGTCTTGTTTCCTCCCCACGGTCTCATGTGGTATTCATGGGTACCAGTCTGTTTCCTCCACTGCCTCAATGTGAGGATATATGGTTACCAGTCTGTTACTCCACTGTCTCATGTGAGTATCTATGGTTCCAGTCGTTTTCCCTCCAGGTCAGTTTTTTAAAATGGGATCTTGGAGGGGGAGACCAACTAAGGTGAAAAAACCTTTCAATTGATGGTCTGTCTTTATCCAATATCTATGTCCATAAGGGGGAGATGACTATCGAGCGCTCAGCGCTCTATCAGAGAGCTCGATAGAGATGAGCGCGAAAGAGGTCAAGCGCGCTCTCGCGCTCGGCGAGGGTCGCGCGAACGGCTTCGAGCTCTCTCTCTCTCCATCTGCTCTTGCTCTTTATCTTCGTCACTCTTTCACTCTACTCTCTCACTCTTTCTTTCTCTCTCTCTCTTTCTCTCCCTCTTTCTTTCTCTGTACTCTCTCCTCTCTCCCTCCTCTCTTCCCTTTCTCTCTCTCCAGGTTGATAGTGGATGGCAGGACAGCACTGACCACCCCTCTCTCACCCCCCCTCACGGGACACCGGGCAGTGTGCACTCGGACACCTCAAACTGAGACACCAACTCACCCCAAACACCCCCCCCCCCCCCCCCCTTCCAAACACCCCTCTACCCTTCAAATTCCCCTTCCTCCACCCTCACACAGCCTCCCCTCTACCCACCCAATCCCTCAACTGTGTCTCAAACTAACCCAAGTCCTCCCCCCCCACACACACACGTTCAGTCGTACCTCAAGCTGAGACAACTCCCCCTCCCTTACCTGTAGCTGAGCATCACTCTCACCCTCCACTCCCGATGTTCATAACCCCCTAGCCCTTACCACCACCCACCTCCCCTCCCTCCCTCCCTCCCTCCCTCCACTCCCGATGCACCATAACCCCCTAGCCCTTACCTCCCTCCTCCTCTCCCTCCCTCCCTCCCTCCACTCCCGATGCACCATAACCCCCTAGCCCTTACCACCCCCCTCCTCCTCTCCCCTCCCTCCCTCCCTCCCTCCCTCCCTCCCTCCACTCCCGATGCACCATAACCCCCTAGCCCTTACCACCCTCCTCCTCCTCTCCCTCCCTCCACACGTTGTCTGACATCACTCTTTTTCTTTCTTTTTATAACCACTTTCTTTTTCTCTCGTTTAAAAAAAGAGAAGATAATTTAGTCACATAGTTTTTTTCTAATACTGTTTCACAAAGAGGCACCAGCCGCGTGTGTTGGAGCCCGACGTGGACGCATCATGTTACTCAAAACGACTACGGAAAAAAATAACAATAAGAAAAAAAAAATCATAATGTTACTCGTCTTCCATGCATGTAGTCCTTTTTAGGTGTTTAGCAATGATTGTATTTTTTCTTTTAGTTTTTTGACTTTTTAAAAAAAACAGTTGCTACAGAGAAAAATGTACACAACGAAAAGTTCTAAATGGCAGAAAATAACCAAAAATGAATAAATACATTGTATGTCAATTATTAAGCTCTGTCTCCTGTCTCATTTTATTATGGAGGGTTGGACGATCAATAAACATTAAATACAAAAGTATGTGGACACCCCTTCAAATGAGTGGATTCGGCTATTTCAGCCACAGCCGTTGCTGACAGGTGTATAAAATCGAACACACAGCCATGCATTCTCCATAGACAAACATTTGCAGTAGAATGGCCTTACTGAAGAGCTCAATGACTTTCAACGTGGCACCGTCATAGGATGCCACCTTTCCAAAAATTTCAGTTAGTCAAATTTCTGCCCTGCTAGAGCTGCCCCGTTCAACTGTAAGTGCTGTTATTGTCAAGTGGAAACGTCTAGGAGCAACAACGACTCATCCGCAAAGTGGTAGGCCACACAATCTCACAGAACGGGACTGCCGAGTGTTGAAGCGCGTAAAAATCGTCTGTCCTCGGTTGCAACACTCACTACCAAGTTCCAAACTGCCTCTAGAAGCAACATCAGCACAAAAACTGTTTGTCGGGAGCTTTGTGAAATGGGTTTCCATGGCTGAGCAGCCACACACAAGCCTAAGATCACCATGCGCAATGCGTCAGCTGGAGTGGTGTAAAGCTTGCCGTCATTGGACTCTGGAGCAGTGGAAACGCATTCTCTGGAGTGATTTATCACGCTTCCCCATCTGGCAGTCCAGATGCCAGAAGAACGCTACCTGCCCCAATGCATAGTGCCAACTGTAAAGTTTGGAGGAGGAATAATGGTCTGGGGCTGTTTTTCATGGTTCGGGCTAGGCCTCTTAGTTCCAGTGAAGGGAAAACGCTACAGCATACAATTACATTCTAGACGATTCTGTGCTTCCAACTTTGTGGCAACAGTTTGGGGAAGGCCCGTTCCTATTTCAGCATGACAATACCCCCGTTCTCAAAGCGAGGCCCATACAGAAATGGTTTGTCCAGATCGGTGTGGAAGAACTTGACTGGCCTGCACAGAGCCCTGACCTCAACCCCATCGAACACCTTTGGGATGAATTGGAACGCCGACTGCAAGCCAGGCCTAATGGCCCAACATCAGTGCCCAGCCGATCTCACTAATGCTCTTGTGGCTGAATGGAAGCAAGACCCTGCAGCAATGTTCCAACATCTAGTGGAAAGCCTTCCCAGAAGAGTGGAGGCTGTTATAGCAGCAAAGGGGGACCAACTCCATATTAATGCTCATGATTTTGGAATGAGATGTTCGACAAGCATGGGTCCACATATTTTTGGTCTTGTAGTGTAATTAATTACTAACTACCAATATATTAACAATACAAACGCTATCCTATGCTGTATGTCACAGTAGAAGACCACTCAAATATCAGTCGTTAATCTTGTAATCTGCAGACATAAATTCATGGGTATCATTGACAAATAGATCAACAGTATGATACATCAGATCAATGTTTTTATGTAAGAAAATAATTATATTTACATTTAAAAAAGCATAGAAATACCATTATATAAACATCTGCACTATGTACAGATATAAAAATGTTTGTGTCACAACATTAAAACAGTCCCTGATCTTGTAGTCAGCTGCCAGTGCACCAGAGTAGCACAGTCAAGTTGTTGATAGATTATATTCTCAGTGATGTCACCTTGCCTGAGACCTGACAAAGATTATTAAACATTCACAATGTTCCTGATATTTCTTCAATGTACAGATATATAAAAATATTCCTCCTTTATATTGGGAGACTATAAAGAATATAGAGTCCCTGATCTTGTAGTCTGCAGCCAGTGTACCAAAGTAACACAGGTAGGTTGTCTGGTAGACAGTAGCCTCACAGTGATGTCACCTTGCCTGAGACCTGGGGCTTGTATAGTAAACTACAGACTGATGGGAGTGCTGGTGAGAATGGGGTCCAATCACGTTACACACCAACCACCTCTGGTCAGGATGGCTCCTCCTCAAAGTACTGCTCTATGTCTCTGAACAGGTATATCCCCTGTTGTTGTATCCATGGCTACCGCTCAGTCTGTCTGTCTCTCTCAGGTCATTTATTAGTAGTATAGTGATATATCTCTTGATGTTGTTGTATCCATGGCTACCTCTCAGTCTGTCTGTCTCTCTCAGGTCATTTATTAGTAGTATAGTGATATATCTCTTAATGTTGTTGTATCCATGGCTACCTCTCAGTCTGTCTGTCTCTCTCAGGTCATTTATTAGTAGTATAGTGATATATCTCTTGATGTTGTTGTATCCATGGCTACCGCTCAGTCTGTCTGTCTCTCTCAGGTCATGTATTAGTAGTATAGTGATATATCTCTTGATGTTGTTGTATCCATGGCTACCTCTCAGTCTGTCTGTCTCTCTCAGGTCATTTATTAGTAGTATAGTGATATATCTCTTGATGTTGTTGTATCCATGGCTACCGCTCAGTCTGTCTGTCTCTCTCAGGTCATGTATTAGTAGTATAGTGATATACAGTCATGGCCAAAATTGTTGGCACCCCTGAAATTTTTCCAGAAAATGAAGTATTTCTCACAGAAAAGTATTGAAATTACACATGTTTTGCTATGCACATGTTTATTTCCTTTGTGTGTATTGGAATAACACAAAAAAAAACAGGAAAAAAGCAAATTTGACATAATTTCACACAAAACTAAAAAAATGGGCCGGACAAAGTTATTGGCACCCTTTCAAAATTGTGGATAAATAAGTTTGTTCCAAGCATGTGATGCTCCTTTAAACTCACCTGGGGCAAGTAACAGGTGTGGGCAATCTAAAAATCACACCTGAAAGCAGATAAAAAGGAGAGAAGTTGACTCAGTCTTTGCATTGTGTTTCTGTGTGTGCCACACTAAGCATGGAGAACAGAAAGAGGAAAAGAGAACTGTCTGAGGACTTGAGAACCAAAATTGTGGAAAAATATCAACAATCTCAAGGTTACAAGTCCATCTCCAGAGATCTAGATGTTCCTTTGTCCACAGTGCGCAACATGATCAAGAAGTTTGCAACCCATGGCACTGTAGCTAATCTCCCTGGACGTGGACGGAAGAGAAAAATTGATGAAAGGTTGCAACGCAGGATAGTCCGGATGGTGGATAAGCAGCCCCAAACAAGTTCCAAAGAAATTCAAGCTGTCCTGCAGGCTCAGGGTGCATCAGTGTCAGTGCGAACTATACGTCGAAATTTGAATGAAATGAAACGCTATGGCAGGAGACCCAGGAGGACCCCACTGCTGACACAGAGACATAAAAAAGCAAGACTACAGTTTGCCAAAATGTACATGAGTAAGCCAAATTCCTTCTGGGAGAACGTCTTATGGACAGATGAGACCAAGATAGAGCTTTTTGGTAAAGCACATCGTTCTACTGTTTACCGAAAATGTAATGAAGCCTTCAAAGAAAAGAACACAGTACCTACAGTCAAATATGGTGGAGGTTCAAAGATGTTTTGGGGTTGTTTTGCTGCCTCTGGCACTGGGTGCCTTGACTGTGTGCAAGGCATCATGAAATCTGAGGATTACCAAAGGATTTTGGGTCGCAATGTAGGGCCCAGTGTCAGAAAGCTGGGTTTGCGTCCGAGATCATGGGTCTTCCAGCAGGACAATGACCCCAAACATACTTCAGCACCCAGAAATGGATGGCAACAAAGCGCTGGAGAGTTCTGAAGTGGCCAGCAATGAGTCCAGATCTTAATCCCATTGAACACCTGTGGAGAGATCTTAAAATTGCTGTTGGGAAAAGGCACCCATCCAATATGAGAGACCTGGAGCAGTTTGCAAAAGAAGAGTGGTCCAAAATTCCGGGTGAGAGGTGTAAGAAGCTTATTGATGGTTATAGGAAGCGACTGATTTCAGTTATTTTTTCCAAAGGGTGTGCAACTAAATATTAAGTTAAGGGTGCCAATCATTTTGTCCGGCCCATTTTTTGAGTTTTGTGTGAAATTATGTCAAATTTGCTTTTTTCCTGTTTTTTTTGTGTTATTCCAATACACACAAAGGAAATAAACATGTGCATAGCAAAACATGTGTAATTTCAATACTTTTCTGTGAGAAATACTTCATTTTCTGGAAAAATTTCAGGGGTGCCAACAATTTTGGCCATGACTGTATCTCTTGATGTTGTTGTATCCATGGCTACCTCTCAGTCAGTCTGTCTCTCTCAGGTCATGTATTAGTAGTATAGTGATATATCTGCTGATGTTGTTGTATCCATGGCTACCTCTCAGTCTGTCTGTCTCTCTCAGGTCATGTATTAGTAGTATAGTGATATATCTCTTGATGTTGTTGTATCCATGGCTACCTCTCAGTCAGTCTGTCTCTCTCAGGTAATGTATTAGTAGTATAGTGATATATCTGCTGATGTTGTTGTATCCATGGCTACCTCTCAGTCTGTCTGTCTCTCTCAGGTCATTTATTAGTAGTATAGTGATATATCTCTTGATGTTGTTGTATCCATTGCTACCTCTCAGGCTTTCTTCTTCTCCAGGTCTTTGACCAGGAAGTGATCTGCTTCTCTCAGGACCTGGTAGAACTCCTCCTGGGCTTCATCCCCCTTCCTCACCACCATGTCCAGCAGGGCTTGGTTCTGTTGGGTCTTGGTGGATTTGCTGACCACCTCCTCCCTCTCCTCATCAATCAGAACACCACGATCCTGGAGACGCAGGAATAAGGGCTGCAAGAGTCCCAGGCGAGTCTCTAGAGCCATCCTGTGATTTCTGATGAAGCCTCTACCAGGGAGGGTAGAGTGGTTGGCAGGAGGGGCTGCTGGGGAAACAGCTGACACTGGGAGGGGGGAATGATGTATTAAAATCCTATCTAGGATGATAAGATACTGTTTAAGATACATTTTCTTTAGTTTGTTATTGAGAGGTTTATAATGGTGATTAATCATTATAACCAACCATAATCATATGATACAATATATATTTTAATTCAGGACTCGTCTGTAAAAGAGACCTTGGTCTCAGTATGACTCCCTGATAAAATAAAGGTACAAAAGTAAAATAATCATTTCATAGTTCAATAACAACAATTCAAAAACTACTACTACTACTACTACTACTACTACTACTACTACTACTACTAATACTAATACTAATACTAATACTACTAATACTAATACTAATACTACTACTACTAATAATACTACGTCTTACCTGGAAGCCAGACAAGTCTGTCCCAGACAGACACTACACCACCATTTTCTTTCAGAAGAAGATTAACTTCTTCAACAACAGTTTGTATGAACAACTGAAATGTTGGGATGTAGTTTTCATAGGATTCAAAATCCACAAATTCTGCATCCTGGTAGAAAGATAGTGTTAGTCTATCAAATGATATAATAATTAAATATATAAAGGTAACGTCATAAGATCATTTGCATGTGCAAACAATGATTATTCTCTCTCTAACTCAGATATCACCATTGGTTTTATTAGATATTCATCTGTAAGATCTGTGGAGAGGTTGTATTCTTGATTCGGAGTTAGTTGGCAGTGAGAATTTGTTTCAATATAGATGTTTCTGTCTTCATTCCTTCTTATCCACTCCTCCTGCACCTTGTTTTCATAAAATCACATTTTGTTAGTATGTTTCAATCAGAAAACATTGTACAAGCAATAACATTAATAAAACATGAATTTGTGGTTTAATGTCCTGTGCATTTACCACAATGTGTGCTTAATTGAATTCAGCCAAAGTAGAGTTTGACATTTCAGATATTCTTACCTCCCTGATCACAACATTTCTGGGAAGCAACAGCACATTCAGGATGGACCTCTTTTTAGGAACAACTGGGGGTTTGTAGAACAACAAGACAAGTGCTCTTATAGGAACGGTGGGTGAGTCTTCATCCTTGACGTCACCATAAGCAGAGAATCCCCTGATCTTTATTATGACATGCGTTTCTGTTATCTTATGTGGACGGATAAACTCCATGTTTTCATCAGTCACATGGGCTACAGACAGGAAGTCACATGGTAAACCACCTGGTAAAGAAATATAACATTTAGAGATTTCTCTGACCAACAAGACAAACATAACAATGCTGAGACTATAGCAGAAAATAAAATACATAATAATGAGTAAATAAATAAGCAAATAATGAGAATATGTTCTTTCAGAAAACATGAAAAGTGAAATTAATCCTTCACAATATTATTACTCACTATTGTAGATCTCACAGTGTGGGAGGTGTAGTTGACAGACAGACCCCTTAAGGCATGTCAACCTAAACAGGGGTCCTGCAGGCCTTTTGCCACTCTGGGCTAGAAGCCTCCTGTCCCAGGGGACTGTCCTATAGAGCACCTCTCCCTCTCCCTCCATCCTAAACACCAGGCCTGTTATACTGCACTGGAACAGACCTGCACTGGGGCACAGGAACCTGTAGAACAAACAATGGTGAAGAATGACATTTTAATGAGATTTCCTGGATTTAAGGTATTGTCCTTCTTTTATACAAACTACCAATAAGAAACATTAAATATATTAAGTTACTGGTATTCTCTCCTGTTGTCCTGATCGTGGATTTCAGGTGTAAATTCATCTGGAGAACTCTAAAATGTAGAAACAATAGATACTGTAATTCAACCAGTAGAGTGAAGAATAGTTTTTAATTTCAGTCTTTCTCTCAGTCCAGTGAGGGTCTTACCATGTGATGGTGTTCCAGGAGGAGAGGAGAACCTAAAGAGAACCAAATAAAGATCAATCATCATGTTTTTCTATACAACTTCAACTTCATAATTGATCCAGATTAATATATTAGCTGTTACCCCTTTCTCTTCCCAACTCCTCGTCCATCCTCTGGGTGTTCTCCTGGGTGTTCACAGCTACCTCTGTGTTGACACTGTTAGCCATCTCCAGTGGGATGTCTAGGATGGGAGGACAGTCCATCTCCAGCTTTGGGGTTTCCTTGATTCAAATCAACAGAATAGAAACATACTTCTATAATAGAAAATGTTTCTATGTATTTTTGACCTGTTTTCTGTTCTATTGTGAACATGTTGCCCACCATGGCAGCAGTGAGAAGGGCAGGGACAATCGGGCACCTTATGTTTGATGATGGGCGGAGCTCCGTCAGTCAGTGGGACACAATCCTCCTCACTCTTTTTATTCCTGGAAACGAGAACAGGCCAGGATGGTGGCTCATTTGTTCTCCTTTTCTTTCCTGCAGGAGTGAGTGAGTGAGTGAGTGAGTGAGTGAGTGAGTGAGTGAGTGAGTGAGTGAGTGAGTGAGTGAGTGAGTGAGAGAGAGCGAGAGAGAGAGAGTTTAAAGTGTTGTTGGCTGGTTAACATACCCACAGGTTAGTGTAATAGTCAGTTCAGAATCAGTCAACAGGCTGTGCGGGATCTTTGTGTGAATACAATCTCTATCACTCAATATCCCAGAACTGAGTGTGCAATGATAAATATATCATCTTGCTGTGTTACCTCTACTGTGATATCTATCGGACGTCTCTGTGGTCTCCATAGCTCTCAAAGAGTCGTATCTCTCCATCTGATCCACTGTGACCTGTATGTCAGCGTTCTCCAGCTGACTCTCTGGGATGGAAAGAACGCTAAGCAGCTCGTCATTAGTCAGCTGTTCTTCAGTGAGCTCCTCTGGAGTGGTCAGCAGCAGAGCTGAACCAGACAATATTTGGGGTCTCTAAAAAGGTGACAAGATATAAGGAAGGAATAGAAATACTGGATACTGATGTAAAGAACATGAACACAGCCACATACACACAACATGGTACAGGAATGTATTCACAGCTTTTATGTCTAATGGTGTGTGTGTGTGTGTGTAGGGATGCAGTCTGACCCCCACCACTCATAGTGTACATGAGAGATTACTTCATTATCTAGACTGAATGTGTGGACTGTATCATTTCATACTGTAGAACTGACTATGACAGTGAGTACAGGTGTTTTAACATATGAGGGTAGAAGTGTAGAACTGACTATGACAGTGAGTACAGGTGTTTTAACATATGAGGGTAGAAGTGATCCTAAAATTCTCTAACCGTCCTCTTACCTGTGACCTGAGCTGTCCGGAGCTACCAGAAAAACTTCCTAGATGAGGCAGAAAGGAAGGAGGAGGAGGACCTGGAGGGTAACCACACTGGGAAAAGATAGTTCGGGGCCTGGTGGGAATAAGGACAGATGAGAGGTTGAGGCTGTACCTGAGAAAGAAGAGCTCAAACCACCCAGTTTATAATAGATAATATACTCTATGTCCACTCATATCCACTCTGAGGGGTGGCCCTGGCTGTACCAGGTAGATAATAGATAATATACTCTATGTCCACTCATATCCACTCTGAGGGGTGGCCCTGGCTGTACCAGGTAGATAATAGATAATATACTCTATGTCCACTCATATCCACTCTGAGGGGTGGCCCTGGCTGTACCAGGTATATAATAGATAATATACTCTATGTCCACTCATATCCACTCTGAGGGGTGGCCCTGGCTGTACCAGGTAGATAATAGATAATATACTCTATGTCCACTCATATCCACTCTGAGGGGTGGCCCTGGCTGTACCAGGTAGATAATAGATAATATACTCTATGTCCACTCATATCCACTCTGAGGGGTGGCCCTGGCTGTACCAGGTAGATAATAGATAATTTACTCTATGTTCACTCACATTCCAGAAGAGGTGCTGGGGAGTTCTTCACTCTCCTCCCCTGCTGGCTTCCTTTCCATCTCAGAGGCAGCTTCCTCCTACACACACACACACACACACACACACACACAAGTCATACACGGCTATACAGAAATATAATCACAGCCTTTTTGTCTAATGGTGTGTGTATGTGTGTAGGGATGCAGTCTGACCCCCACCACTCATAGTGTACATGAGAGATTAGTTAATTATCTAGACTGTATGTGTGGACTGTATCATTTCATACTGTAGAACTGACTATGACAGTGAGTACAGGTGTTTTAACATATGAGGGTAGAAGTGATCCTTCTCTAACGGTCCTCTTACCTGTGAGCTGAGCTGTCTTAAGTTACTACCAGAACCTAGATGAGACAGAAAGGAAGGAGGAGGACGTGGAGGGTAACCACACTGGGAAGAAGATAGAGCTGGAGAGAAGGGGGGAAATGGGGGGTAACCACACAGGGGAGAGGACGGATCGGGGCCTTGTGGGAATATGGGCAGGTGAGAGGTTGAGGCAGTACCTGAGAAAGAGGGGGAAACAGGGGAAATAGAGGGGAAGATAGGAGGGGGGATAGAGAGACAGTTAGGGTCATTGTCTGCAATCCTACTTCTCTGATCTCTCTCTAACTTCTCTGCCAGATCATTCTGGTTCATCTTCCAGATTAGGCAGCTCAGGAAGAGATATACAGCCATGATTAGAAAGTCTAATCCGTTTGAGATATCTTCCCTACTGTATTGGTGATTGTATGTATGTAATATAATGAATGTTGGATTGCTGTTTAAACATAATGGGGCCACCTGGATACATCATGAATAAAAATGATAAAAGAGAGGCCTGCTGAATGTTATTATGAAGTCAGTTGAATGTTCTTTCTGGTTAGACCTCCACTGAACTGTGATTGTGATGTATAGATTGATGTACATTCTTGTTCTGTTACCTCCTCTGTGATCTGTCTCTAACTTCTCTGCTAGGTCTACCCGCTTCATCCCCCTCAGGATCCTCAGTGTGATCTCCACAGCTCTCTCAGGGCCGTATGTCTTCACCATCTGATCCACTGTGACCTGTCTGTCAGCGTTCTCCAGCTGACTCTCTGGGATGGGAGGACAGTCAGGCAGCAGGCCACTAGTCAGGAAAGACTGAAATGTCTTCAGCTCTTGTGGGTTCATCTCCTCCAGAGTTGTCAGCAGCAGAGATGGAACAGCCAACGTTCTCTAAAACAACAAAGGTGACAACAGTGAGGAAGGAATAGAAAAACTGACTACTGATATAAAATAAAGAACATGAATATATTAATATTGTTAAGACGTACTAGAATATTTATACTGGTCTCTCAATATCTCATTCTCATATCATCATATAATAGATTACAGTTGGTGTGTGTGTGTGTAGGGATGCAGTCTGACCACCACCACTCATAGTGTACATGAGAGATTAGTTAATTATCTAGACTGTATGTGTGGACTGTATCATTTCATACTGTAGAACTGACTATGACAGTGAGTACAGGTGTTTTAACATATGAGGGTAGAAGTGATCCTAAAATTCTCTAACCGTCCTCTTACCTGTGACCTGAGCTGTCCTGAGGTACCAGAAAGATTTCCTAGATGAGGCAGAAAGGAAGGAGGAGGAGGACCTGGAGGGTAACCACACTGGGAAAAGATAGTTCGGGGCCTGGTGGGAATAAGGACAGATGAGAGGTTGAGGCTGTACCTGAGAAAGAAGAGCTCAAACCACCCAGTTTATAATAGATATATACTCTATGTCCACTCTATCCACTCTGAGGGGTGGCCCTGGCTGTACCAGGTAGATAATAGATAATATAACTCTATGTTCACTCATATCCACTCTGAGGGGTGGCCCTGGCTGTACCAGTAATAATAGATAATATACCCTATGTCCACTCATATCCACTCTGAGGGTGGCCCTGGCTGTACCGGGTAGATAAATAGATAATATACTCTATGTCCACTCATAGCCACTCTGAGGGTGCCCTGGCTGTACCAGGTAAGATAATAGATAATATACTCTATGTCCACTCATATCCACTCTGAGGGGTGGCCCTGGCTGTACCAGTAAATAATAGATAATATACTCTATGTCCACTCATATCCACTCTGAGGGATGGCCCTGGCTGTACCAGGTAGATAATAAGATAATATACTCTATGTCCACTCATATCCACTCTGAGGGGTGGCCCTGGCTGTACCAGGTAGATATAGATAATATACTCTATGTCCACTCATATCCACTCTGAGGGGGTGGCCCGGCTGTACCAGGTAGATAATAGATAGTATACTCTATGTTCACTCATATCCACTCTGAGGGGTGGCCCTGGCTGTACCAGGTAGATAATGAAATATTTACCTTGTCCATATATCCACTTAGGGGGGGGCCCGGCTGTACCAGGTAATAATAATTTATACTCTATTCCACTCAATCCACCTGGGGGGCCCTGGCGTACCAGGGATAATAGATAATATACCTAGTCCTCCTTCCCCCTTTTAGGGGGCCCCGGCTGTACCGGTAATAATAGATAATAACCCATTCCACATATCCACTCTGAGGGGTGGCCCTGGCTGTAACCCGGGAGATAAAAGATAATATACTCTATTTCCCCTAATTCCCCTTAGGGGGGGCCCTGGTGTACCAGGTGATAATAGATAATATACTCATGTCCCTATATCCCCTGAGGGGTGGCCCCTGGCTGTACCAGGTAAAAATAGATAATATACTCTTGTCCTCATTCCACCTGAGGGGGGGCCCTGGCTTTTACCAAGGTAATAATGAAATACTCTTGTCCCCTATTCCACCCAGGGGGGCCCTGGTGTACCAGGGAGTAATAGATAATTACTCTATGTCCACTCATATCCACTCTGAGGGGTGGCCCTGGCTGTACCAGGTAGATAATAGATAATATACTCTATGTTCACTCACATTCCAGAAGAGGTGCTGGGGAGTTCTCCACTCTCCTCCCCTGCTGGCTTCCTTTCCATCTCAGAGGCAGCTTCCTCCTACACACACACACACACACACACACACACACACACACACACACACACACACACACACACACACACACACACACACCACACACACACACACACACACACACACACACACACACACACACACACACACACAAGTCATACACGGCTATACAGAAATATAATCACAGCCTTTATGTCTAATGGTGTGTGTGTGTGTGTGTAGGGATGCAGTCTGACTCCCACCACTCATAGTGTACATGAGAGATTAGTTAATTATCTAGACTGTATGTGTGGACTGTATCATTTCATACTGTAGAACTGACTATGACAGTGAGTACAGGTGTTTTAACATATGAGGGTAGAAGTGATCCTACACTTCTCTAACCGTCCTCTTACCTGTGAGATGAAGTTTCCTGAGCTACCAGCAGAAGTTAACGACAACACCTCCTCGGACGAGCCAGGGTAGAAGAAGGGGGGACGTGGAGGGTAACCGCACAGGGGAGAGGTTGAGGCAGTACCTGAGAAAGAGGGGGAAACAGGGGAAATAGAGGGGAAGATAGGAGGGGGGACAGAGAGACAGTTAGGGTCCTTGTCTACGATCCTACTTCTCTGATCTCTCTCTAACTTCTCTGCCAGATCATTCTGGTTCATCTTCCAGATTAGGCAGCTCAGGAAAAGATATACAGCCATGATTAGAAAGTCTAATCTGTTTGTGATATCTTCCCTACTGTATTGGTGATTGTATGTATGGAATATAATGAATGTTGGATTGCTGTTTAAACATAATGGGGTCACCTGGATACATCATTAATAAAAATGATAAAAGAGGGGCGTGCTGAATGTTATTATGAAGTCAGTTGAATGTTCTTTCTGGTTAGACCTCCACTGAACTGTGATTGTGATGTATAGATTGATGTACATTCTTGTTCTGTTACCTCTGTGATCTGTCTCTAACTTCTCTGCTAGGTCTACCCGCTTCATCCCCCTCAGGATCCTCAGTGTGATCTCCACAGCTCTCTCAGGGCCGTATGTCTTCACCATCTGATCCACTGTGACCTGTCTGTCAGCGTTCTCCAGCTGACTCTCTGGGATGGGAGGACAGTCAGGCAGCAGGCCACTAGTCAGGAAAGACTGAAATGTCTTCAGATCATGTGGGTTCATCTCCTCCAGAGTTGTCAGCAGCAGAGCTGGAACAGCCAACATTCTCTAAAACAACAAAGGTGACAACAGTGAGGAAGGAATAGAAAAACTGACTACTGATATAAAATAAAGAACATGAATATATTAATATTGTTAAGACGTACTAGAATATTTCTACTGGTCTCTCAATATCTCATTCTCATATCATCATATAATAGATTACAGTTGGAACTTTAACACACACACACAGGCACACACAGTACAGTGGGGGAAAAAAGTATTTAGTCAGCCACCAATTGTGCAAGTTCTCCCACTTAAAAAGATGAGAGAGGCCTGTAATTTTCATCATAGGTACACGTCAACTATGACAGACAAAATGAGATTTTTTTTCTCCAGAAAATCACATTGTAGGATTTTTAATGAATTTATTTGCAAATTATGGTGGGAAATAAGTATTTGGTTAATAACAAAAGTTTCTCAATACTTTGTTATATACCCTTTGTTGGCAATGACACAGGTCAAACGTTTTCTGTGGTCCTCTGTAGCTCAGCTGGTAGAGCACGGCGCTTGTAACGCCAAGGTTCGATCCCCAGGACCACCCATACACAAAAATATGTATGCACGCATGACTGTAAGTCGCTTTGGATAAAAGCGTCTGCTAAATGGCATATTATTATATTATTATTCTGTAAGTCTTCACAAGGTTTTCACACACTGTTGCTGGTATTTTGGCCCAATCCTCCATGCAGATCTCCTCTAGAGCAGTGATGTTTTGGGGCTGTCGCTGGGCAACACGGACTTTCAACTCCCTCCAAAGATTTTCTATGGGGTTGAGATCTGGAGACTGGCTAGGCCACTCCAGGCCCTTGAAATGCTTCTTACGAAGCCACTCCTTCGTTGCCCGGGCGGTGTGTTTGGGATCATTGTCATGCTGAAAGACCCAGCCACGTTTCATCTTCAATGCCCTTGCTGATGGAAGGAGGTTTTCACTCAAAATCTCACGATACATGGCCCCATTCATTCTTTCCTTTACACGGATCAGTCGTCCCGGTCCCTTTGCAGAAAAACAGCCCCAAAGCATGATGTTTCCACCCCCATGCTTCACAGTAGGTATGGTGTTCTTTGGATGCAACTCAGCATTCTATGTCCTCCAAACACGACGAGTTGAGTTTTTACCAAAAAGTTATATTTAGGTTTCATCTGACCATATGACATTCTCCCAATCCTCTTCTGGATCATCCAAATGCACTCTAGAAAACTTCAGACGGGCCTGGACATGTACTTGCTTAAGCAGGGGGACACGTCTCGCACTGCAGGATTTGAGTCCCTGGCGGCGTAGTGTGTTACTGATGGTAGGCTTTGTTACTTTGGTCCCAGCTCTCTGCAGGTCATTCACTAGGTCCCCCTGTGTGGTTCTGGGATTTTTGCTCACCGTTCTTGTGATCATTTTGACCCCACGGGGTGAGATCTTGCGTGGAGCCCCAGATCGAGGGAGATTATCAGTGGTCTTGTATGTCTTCCATTTCCTAATAATTGCTCCCACAGTTGATTTCTTCAAACCAAGCTGCTTACCTATTGCAGATTCAGTCTTCCCAGCCTGGTGCAGGTCTACAATTTAGTTTCTGGTGTCCTTTGACAGCTCTTAGGTCTTGTCCGTAGTGGAGTTTGGAGTGTGACTGTTTGAGGTTGTGGACAGGTGTCTTTTATACTGATAACAAGTTCAAACAGGTGCCATTAATACAGGTAACGAGTGGAGGACAGAGGAGCCTATTAAAAAGAAGTTACAGGTCTGTGAGAGCCAGAAATCTTGCTTGTTTGTAGGTGACCAAATACTTATTTTCCACCATAATTTGCAAATAAATTCATAAAAAATCCTACAATGTGATTTTCTGGATTTTTTTTTCTCAATTTGTCTGTCATAGTTGACGTGTACCTATGATGAAAATTACAGGCCTCTCTCATCTTTTTAAGTGGGAGAACTTGCACAATTGGTGGCTGACTAAATACTTTTTTTCCCCCACTGTATGTGGCTGTGATCTTAATGGGGTTTGTTCACAATGACATTTGACCTCTCAGACATGAACACTAGTGTTACCTTCATGAACCTCAGCTTCTCCTCCAGCCTAGAGATCTCAGTCTCCAGACGACGCTTCTTTCCAGACCGGGTCGACCTGGACACAGGAAACAGTCACACACTGCTCTGTTCCCCTACACCACCACCACATGCTGTGGTCACTTCACTGTTCTACATTCATTTCACAGTTCATGAGGATGATGTAATAAAATATGTTATGGTAGAGTTGTTAATATTAGACTCATTTCATCTTTGTATGTCCACTCACCTTCCAGAAGAGGTGCTGGGGAGTGTGGGAAACAGCCTGTTGGCCTTTGCTTGCTACATATACACATGCACCCAACACACACACACAAGTATGCGCAAGCACATACACATACACACAAACACAAACAAAAACTTTACTTTACATAGAAGGTTCTAGGGAGTTTGGGAAACTGCTCATCCCTGTTGGCCTCTGCCAGCGGCCCTCTCCTCTACACACACACACACACACACACACACAGACACAGACACAGACACAGACACACACACACACACACACACACACACACACACACACACACACACACACACACACACACACACACACACACTGCAGTGTCTGCAGAGAATATTGTGATCTACTGTATGGGGTTTGCTCACATTGACTTTAGACATGGCCACTAGTCTTACATTCAGCATCATTGCATACTGTAGAACTGACTATGACAGTGAGTACAGGTGTTTTAACATATGAGGGTAGAAGTGTAGAACTGACTATGACAGTGAGTACAGGTGTTTTAACATATGAGGGTAGAACTGACTATGACAGTGAGTACAGGTGTTTTAACATATGAGGGTAGAACTGACTATGACAGTGAGTACAGGTGTTTTAACATATGAGGGTAGAAGTCATCCTTCTCTAACCGTCCTCTTACCTGTGACCTGAGCTGTCCTGAGCTACCAGAACAACTTCCTAGATGAGACAGAAAGGAAGGAGGAGGAGGACCTGGAAGGTAACCACACAGGGGAGAGGACGGATCGGGGCCTGGTGGGAATAAGGGCAGGTGAGAGGTTGAGGCAGTACCTGATAAAGAGGGGGAAACAGGGGAAATAGAGGGGAAGATAGGAGGGGGGATAGAGAGACAGTTAGGGTCCTTGTCTGCAATCCTACTTCTCTGATCTCTCTCTAACTTCTCTGCCAGATCATTATGGTTCATCTTCCAGATTAGGCAGCTCAGGAAGAGACATACAGCCATGATTAGAAAGTCTAATCCGTTTGAGATATCTTCCCTACTGTATTGGTGATTGTCTGTATGGAATATAATGAATGTTGGATTGCTGTTTAAACATAATGGGGCCACCTGGATACATCATGAATAAAAATGATAAAAGAGAGGCCTGCTGAATGTTATTATGAAGTCAGTTGAATGTTCTTTCTGGTTAGACCTCCACTGAACTGTGATTGTGATGTATAGATTGATGTACATTCTTGTTCTGTTACCTCCTCTGTGATCTGTCTCTAACTTCTCTGCTAGGTCTACCCGCTTCATCCCCCTCAGGATCCTCAGTGTGATCTCCACAGCTCTCTCAGGGCCGTATGTCTTCACCATCTGATCCACTGTGACCTGTCTGTCGGCGTTCTCCAGCTGACTCTCTGGGATGGGAGGACAGTCAGGCAGCAGGCCACTAGTCAGGAAAGACTGAAATGTCTTCAGCTCTTGTGGGTTCATCTCCTCCAGAGTTGTCAGCAGCAGAGATGGAACAGCCAACGTTCTCTAAAACAACAAAGGTGACAACAGTGAGGAAGGAATAGAAAAACTGACTACTGATATAAAATAAAGAACATGAATATATTAATATTGTTAAGACGTACTAGAATATTTATACTGGTCTCTCAATATCTCATTCTCATATCATCATATAATAGATTACAGTTGGTGTGTGTGTGTGTAGGGATGCAGTCTGACCACCACCACTCATAGTGTACATGAGAGATTAGTTAATTATCTAGACTGTATGTGTGGACTGTATCATTTCATACTGTAGAACTGACTATGACAGTGAGTACAGGTGTTTTAACATATGAGGGTAGAAGTGATCCTAAAATTCTCTAACCGTCCTCTTACCTGTGACCTGAGCTGTCCTGAGGTACCAGAAAGATTTCCTAGATGAGGCAGAAAGGAAGGAGGAGGAGGACCTGGAGGGTAACCACACTGGGAAAAGATAGTTCGGGGCCTGGTGGGAATAAGGACAGATGAGAGGTTGAGGCTGTACCTGAGAAAGAAGAGCTCAAACCACCCAGTTTATAATAGATAATATACTCTATGTCCACTCATATCCACTCTGAGGGGTGGCCCTGGCTGTACCAGGTAGATAATAGATAATATACTCTATGTTCACTCATATCCACTCTGAGGGGTGGCCCTGGCTGTACCAGGTAGATAATAGATAATATACTCTATGTTCACTCATATCCACTCAGAGGGGTGGCCCTGGCTGTACCAGGTAGATAATAGATAATATACTCTATGTCCACTCATATCCACTCAGAGGGGTGGCCCTGGCTGTACCAGGTAGATAATAGATAATATACTCTATGTCCACTCATATCCACTCAGAGGGGTGGCCCTGGCTGTACCAGGTAGATAATAGATAATATACTCTATGTCCACTCATATCCACTCTGAGGCGTGGCCCTGGCTGTACCAGGTAGATAATAGATAATATACCGTATTTTCTGCACTATAAGCCGCACTGGACTATAAACCGCAGGTGTTTTAATGTTAATTACCATATGTAAGGGTTCGTGCACAGAGGGGATTGTCGGGAAAGAGATGGCTGCTTGAGGAAGCTCCCATTTATTAACATTTCAACAAACAAGTTGCATATTTGCATAACGTATTCAAGTGTTACCATTTAGTGCAATAGTAGCTACAGAACATATACTGTGCTGTGTAAACTGTACTGTATCACATAGCGTTTCAGACACACAAACTTTTCAACTTTCAAACTTAAACGGTGCGCTCCCAGCCCACATAACGGCAGTGATCTACAGCAGTGGTTTTCAACTAGTGGTCCTTGAGGGAGTGCTAGGGGTTCCCCAGCAAAATGTGTTAATAGCGTCACAATCATTTAACCACTTAACTTTGGTTATTTTTGAAAAACCTTGAAAAAGTGTGCACATCTTTGAATATTTATCTACATTATAGCCTACAGTAGTACCATAACAAAAAACAAAGCTTACAGCGCTTGACGAGGCAATATCAATGGCTAAATTAAATGTGTGTTTTTTAAAGTGCAAAATAAAGTGCCTGTAACACGACAGTAAGCGCGTAAGCCTAAAGTTGCAGCAACACGGCTGCTTAAAATATACGGTAAGCATTTCTACGTTTGTTTTCCATAATGAGGGTTTGTGCATGAAAACTTCCTTTGCACAAACTGTCTCGCTCTCGTAATGTCTCTCGTTCTGTCTCTCGTACCACTCTCGGTTCCACTTTTACTTTTGCGCGCTACCTGTCTCACTCTTTTCCGGCCTCCAGCTTTTCCTGCTGGAGCCCGCCGCTTAAAGGTGGGGGGCGCGGAGCGGTCATAGAGCCCATAGAGTTAAAGTTGGTGGACTGTAACCTGTAAAATCCATAGATTTAGGAGGTCTTCTAGTGGCCGTTAGCTGTAAAAATCCATAGATTAGCCGCACCGTTATATAAGCCGCAGGGTCGAAAAATGGGAAAAAAGGCGCGGCTTATAGTCCGAAAATTACGGTACTCTATGTCCACTCATATCCACTCTGAGGGGTGGCCCTGGTTGTACCAGGTAGATAATAGATAATATACTCTATGTCTGTGCATGTTCATCCACTCCAAAATAATTCCAGCTTCCAAACAGTGCACTGCATGTATACTCACACCATTTGTTAAATGGAAATATACATCTGTTTACAAAACACCATAAAGAGTACATAATGACATTCAGAGATTGCCATTGATTAGACCTTCATTAATTGATGCTTCTTGCTGACAAATTGACCTTTTTTGGGGAAATCTAAAATGGGGCTGAAACTGTCTCGGGAAAAAAATGACAAGGCCACAATGTGTATTACTATGGACTTCTAATATAGTGATGTAGTGGTCAAAAAATAGGTGGGTCAACTCTGAAAGCTCCCTATACTTTCAATGCATTTTTCAGAAAAAGGTGAAAAAACTGCCTTTACCCTCCACTAGGCCTTCAACCACTTCAACACACACAGAACTGGTAGTCTACATTCAATATAATACATGTGTTGAATCAAAACATGTTTACACACTAGTTCATGAGTTGTCCATAATTCACGAGTTGAATGCTTGGAGTCTTCACGTTACCTTTCTTTCCTTACATTAATTACATATATGAACATTTTATTTGTCATTATTAAGCATTTAACAGTTTAATTAGAATATTGAATTTAAACCCTGTACGAATCCTGGATCTTGGAGATCTCGGGAAAATGCATTATAAGTTTAACCATGCCTAAAGGGTGGCCCTGGCTGTACCAGGTAGATAATAGATAATATACTCTATGTTCACTCACATCCACTCTGAGGGGTGGCCCTGGCTGTACCAGGTAGATAATAGATAATATACTCTATGTCCACTCATATCCACTCTGAGGGGTGGCCCTGGCTGTACCAGGTAGATAATAGATAATATACTCTATGTTCACTCACATTCCAGAAGAGGTGCTGGACGCCTCTTCACTCTCCTCCCCTGCTGGCTTCCTTTCCTTCTCAGATGCAGATACCTCCTACACATTTTACATTACACACACAAACACACACACACACACACACACACACACACACACACACACACCACACCACACACATACACAGTCTGTGTCTTGTCTGCAGTCTATTCTATTCAGGACCACATTGGAAAGCCTACATGTTCTACCCTCCGCATATATGTGCACATCCACACACGGCACTGTAACTGCATGATATCAAACTAGCTTAGGGTCTAGGCGTGTAATACAACTTTATCTTGCCAACATCTCTTGATTGAGATGGTATGTGATTGAAATCGCAAAAGTTTACCAGCTAAAATGTAGATTATTTCAGCCTTCTTCACTCCTTCGAATGACATGCAAAGTGGTAGATATGAAATCATTGGATATTAACATTACTGCGTTATTAATTCATAGCTAGATTATTACCTAGACATTTTAAAGTAGGCCTATGAACTATTACATCACATGTTGTTGCATTTCATCATGTAAAGTTATTTTCCCCGTTGTTCCCATTACTTTGATCGAGTCAATCTCGCACTTCCGTGTTGCTGTAAATGAAATATGAAATGAATACAATGTTGCCTACTTTACTGTTTATTAACAACAAACTTTTCAGTTACTTTTCATATTTACAGACATCTATTAAATAACAGCATACTCCGTTTTTTTCCAAACTAGTTTCTTACCTTGGATGGGTCCATTTTCAGACACTACAGGCGCAGCCAGCCGACTGGAAAATAAACTATTCAGTAGGAAATTAGCTATTGGCTGTCCTAAAAGTCGCTAGAAGTCGCTAAATGACGCCATCACCTACTTTGCATAATTGGCCATGTGCATGTAATTGTGATGGACGCTGTAGGAGAGAGGAAGAACGTTGTGGGAGAGACAAAAATGGAGTAAAAAACACCCTAAATATATTTAGAACTACAAATGAATTTTCTTCTGTCGATTCTTGTTTTTTTTTATGTCACAATTCCAACCCTCCTCCTTTATCCGGGCTTGGGACCGGCAAAAGTGACCCAAAAGAGACACGCTTCGTTTTTTTTTTTTTTGTCATTATTAAGCATTTAACAGTTTAATTAGAATATTGAATTTAAACCCTGTAAAAAACCCTAAAAATCTGTGAATGTATTGTAATGTATTGCAGTCTGGACGCGGAGGGTTGAACATCTCCTACTCTGACTGCAGCTGGGAGGGACTGCTGCACGAGGACTTGGCCGCCTGTGAGTACCACCAGAAAAAGTCGCTAGATTTGTCGCTAGTCGCTTTTTTGAAAATGTGTCGCTAGAGGGGTATGAATACTCGCTAAATATAGCGACTAGGTCGCTAAGTTGGCAACACTGCTCCAGTTTCCTAGTTTTCAGCAGCCCGGCACATCCTCCCTATAGGTCTCAAGTTGCCTTCGTGGGATTTATTTAAGATATGAAGAAAACATGAAAACATACTGTATGTTAATAGTCTGCCTGTCTGCCTGTCTGGTACGGGATGTAGGAGTAGGGTTGCAACATTCCTGGAACTTTCAATAAATTCCCTTGTTTTCCAGAGGATTACGGATTTCCTGCATATTTGAATTTGTATTTATTATGGATCCCCATTAGTTCCTGTCAAGGCTGCAGCTACTCTTCCTGTGGTCCAGCAAAATTAAGACAGTTCATACAATTTTAAAAACATTACAATACATTCACAGATTTCACAACACACTGTGTGCCCTCAGGCCCCTACTCCACCACTACCACATATCTACAGTACAGAATCCATGTGTACGTGTGTGTATAGTGAGTATGTTATCGTGTGCGTGTATGCCTGTGTCTGCGCCTATGTTGTGTTGCTTCACAGTCCCCGCTGTTCCATAAGGTGTTTTTTTTTGTATCTGTTTTTTAAATCTAATTTTACTACTTGCATCAGTTACTTGATGTGGAATAGAGTTCCATGTAGTCATGGCCTATGTAGTACTGTGTGCCTCCCATAGTCTGTTCTGCACTTGGGGACTGTGAAGAGACCTCTGGTGGCATGTCTTGTGGGGTAGGCATGGGTGACCGAGCTGTGCGCCAGCAGCTCAAACAGACAGCTCGGTGCATTCAACATGTCAACACCTCTCATAAACACAAGCAGTGATGAAGTCAATCGCTCCTCCACTTTCTCTCTCTCTCTTTCTCACTCCTCCCTTACAGCATCACATGCTCATGGCTCCACTTCTTCCTCCTCCTCCTCCTCCTCCTCCCCCTCCTCCTCCTCCTCTTCCTCCTGCGTATACCCTCCTGATTCCGGGAAGACTCCAACAGAGATTTCCGGAAAACCAGGGAATTCATTGAAAGTTCCAGGAATGTTGCAACCCTAGGTGGGACAATTATCCTGGTCTCTAGCGCATCCTGGTGGTTCAGCAGGAAATTACACTGTAATGTGTGATGATGTGGAAGAGGTGGAGGAGGAGGAGGAGGAGGAGGAGCCGTGGCCATGTGATGCTGTAAGGGTGGAATGAGAAAGAGTGAGAAAGAGAGAGTCAGCCTAAAACTTGTAATAAATGTTAGATGGAAATTAATACAGTAGAGTCATTAATTCAGTAGAGTAAACGCATGATGCAATTCATACATGTTGTCATATTATCATCAGACAGGTCAATTCATACATGTTGTCATGTTATCATCAGACAGGTCAATTCATACATGTTGTCATGTTATCATCAGACAGGTCAATTCATACATGTTGTCATGTTATCATCAGACAGGTCAATTCATACATGTTGTCATATTATCATCAGACAAGTCAATTCATACATGTTGTCATATTATCATCAGACAAGTCAATTCATACATGTTGTCATGTTATCATCAGACAGGTCAATTCATACATGTTGTCATGTTATCATCAGACAGGTCAATTCATACATGTTGTCATATTATCATCAGACAGGTCAATTCATACATGTCATAAATAGTATTATCATCCGACAGATCAATTGTAGAAATGAATGATAGCCTAAACATAAATTAATCAATTACTTTTTATTTGTATAATGTGTCTTATAAATATGAAGTGAGTTGATGACTTCACGTTTGTGGGGTGGATATGAATAATTCTATAAAATGTAAATATACTGAACTAAAATATAAATGTGTTGGTCCCATTATTCATGAGCTGAAATAAAAGATCCCAGAAATGTTCCATACACACAAAAAATGTATATCTCTAAAATGTTGTACACAAATTTGTTTACGTCCCTGTTAGTGAGCATTTCACATTTGCCTATACAATCCATCCACCTGAGAGGTGTGGCATATCAAGAAGCTGATTAAACAGCATGATCATTACACAGTGCATCTTGTGCTGGGGACAATAAAAGGCCACTCTTAAATGTGCAGTTTTGTCACACAACACAATGCTACAGGTGTCTGAAGTTTAGAGGGAGCGTGCAATTGGCATGCTGACTGCAGGTATGTCCACCAGAACTGTTTCCAGAGAATTGAATGCTAATTTCTCTACCACAAACTGCCTCCAATGTCGTTTTAGAGAATTTGGTAGTATGTTCAACCGGCGTCACAACCACAGATCACGTGTAACCAGCCCAGGACCTCCACATCCGGTTTCGCACCTGCGGGATCGTCTGAGACCAGCCACCTGTACAGCTGATGAAACGGAGGTGTATTTCTGTCTGTAATAAAGCCCTTTTGTGGGGAAAAACTCATTCTGATTGGCTGGGGCTGGCTCCCCAGTGGGTGGGCCTGGCTCCCAAGTGGGTGGGCCTATGCCCTCCCAAGCCTGGCTGCGCCCCTGCCCAATCGTGAAATTCATAGATTAGGGCCTAATGAATTTTTTTCAATTGACTGATTTCCTAATATGAACTGTAACTTAGTACATTTGTTTAAATTGTTGCATGTTGCGTTGATATTTTTGTTCAGTATAGATTAATGCAATTGAAAAACACTATCAGATATTTTATACACCAGGTTTTGCTCAATTCAGAATTTTGGAATAGACTCCCATCCAACTTCAATTTGCCACACCCCACATGATGTAGAATTTGAATTTGTGTGACAGGAAGTATAATTTAATTCAGTGTAATTCAAATAAATTTCACTCAGTCATAGAACATAAGAGTTTCATTGAATCTGACAGGTCACACTAGAGAGAATATAGTAGATGGCATGTGTCAAAAAGTGATATTTATATATAGTTATTTCTGTGTCTTATGTTTATGTCCTTTTAAGGACATCCTGTCCGGATGTCCTCATGCTATTTGGGGTGTTCTTATGTGACTTGATAGTGCAGCTGTTTCTTTGAAGTAAAGCAAATGTTTGCAATAAAAAGTAATGGCCTGATGATTGATGTGTCGTGTAGTTGACCTTGTTGAACTTAAAGAAAATGTGTTTGAAAAATGTGAAACAGTTGGGAATTTTTGTAGTGAATGGGTAGGCCTGAGTTTGAACTGTTTGAAACATGTGAAACAGTTGGGGATTTTTGTAGTGAACTTATGTAGCTGCTGGGCAGTGAGCTTGTGACCCCTTGTAGAATGAAAAAGTAATTTCCAGGGTAGGTCTGCCTGAGTATAAGTAAGTGTTAGACTTGTCCTGTGAACACTACGAGCGACAAGAAACCTCAAGAGAGATAAACCACAGAAAACCACAGTAAACATGTCTCCCACACCAACTCTAGGTGGATTGTGTCCTTCATGTCTGGGCCACAATGACAAAACCATCGATGCCATTCTTTTTTGAAGTCGCAGGCATTGCTACCTCGTCACCAGAATGTGAGCCGGCTACATAAGTGTCAGACTGGGGTCACACTGGGGGTGACAGGGGTCACTGTCTGAGGTCAGGGTAGGATGTATTACTACTGTTGTATTATTACTATTGTTACTATTATTACTACTGTTGTTATTATTGCTCATGTTTACTTTGACAATATAAATTACTAATTTTCCATGTCAATTAAGTAAATTAAATGAAATGACATCTCAGACCACCAAAGTGCACTACTTTTGACCATAGCCATGTTAGGCGTACTGTATCGGGAATAGGTTGTTATCTGAGTTTCCCCATAGGGTGAGAAGAATAGAATGTGAACATTTGTCTCTTTAGAAAGGATTTCCTGTCCAGAAACATCCTAGCACCTGCATGCATTTGTTAGATAGCTATCACTTGATTCAGATTAGAGATTCTTTCATTTTTACTCGTACTGAGAGACATCTGAGTTTCATCTCTCTCTCTCTACTCTCTCTCTACTCTCCTCTCTCTCTCTTCTCTCTCTCTTTCTCTCTCTCTCTCCTCTCTCCCCTCTTCTCGCTCTCTTCCCGCCCCTCTCTCTTTATATGTTCTTTTTCCTGTTGTTTTTCTTTTCTTTGCCCTTTTCATTTTCCGCATTTGTTTTGGGCTCTCGGGGCCCCGTTCCTTTGCCTGCCTGTTTTTTCGGTTTGTTTTAGTTTCCCTTGGTAAAGTTCCCCGGGTTTTTCCCCCCGTCCCTGCCCTCCCTCCGACCGGAAAGGGATTTTCTTTTTCCCCAAAAAACGCAGAAAAGGCCCCCCCGGGGGGGGGGAAAACCCCCCCCTCTCTCCTTTTCTCTCTCCCCCTCTCCTCTCCTCCCTCCTCCTCTCCCTCCCTTTTTCCCCCCCCCCGCCCCCTCTCCCTCTTTTCTCTACTCCTTTCTCTCTCTCTTTCTCCTCCCCCCCCTCTCTCCTCTCCTCCCCGCCCCTGCCCGTCTCCTCACA